AATCAATGGTAGGAGAGAATGGAATCTCAAAAGACAAGTTCGAAATGGATTCCTCTTACCTCCACACACATGCACTCACACAACACACATGCATACAATATACAACAATACAAAAATCAAATTAAAAATAAAAACAAACAGTAAATGACCAGAAAGAAAATTTAAGATTAAAAAAAAAAAAGTTGGTCAGGTGTTGGTGGTGCACACCTTTAATCCCAGCATTCAAGAGGCAGAGGCAGGTGGATTTCTGAGTTCAAGGCCAGACTGGTCTACAGAACGAGTTCTAGGACAGTCAGTGCTACACAGAGTAACCCTGTCTGAAAAACAACAACAAAAAAAATTGCTTATCCTAAGAGCCAGGGATATAGCTCAATGATAAAACATTTGCCAGGAATATACAAGGCCCCATGATCCTTAGCACTAGGAAGTTTAAATAAAAAAAAAAAAAAAAAAAAAAAGACTGAACCTCCCATGTTGGTTAAACACAAATGAATTACCCTAGCCATATTATACAGGTCATAATTTTTTTTTTTTATACGAGAGCAGGAAGCTGATTGCATGTACTACAAGGGGCAGGGAGCAGGCAGTAACAGGAATACCACCGGCGGTAAATTCTTGACCTTTTCCTCAATAACTGAAGGAAAGTCTAGACTGTCACTTGAGAGACAATAGGAACTGTTTAGGTGACAAGAGATAGTTGTTTAAAGAACTCATCAGTAGAGAAAAGTGAGACTCTTGGAAGAAAAGCTTTTTTTTTTTTTTACAATAATTAGCATTGTATTTGAATAATTTAATACATTTACACGTAATAGAGCAAAGATACATAAGGGAAATTGTAAAACTTCTTAACTGTAGTGAAAAGGTTAAAAAAAGTCTATACACAATGTCTGAGAGACGAAAAAATGCTCCCTACATAGACCAGGCTGGCCTCCAATTTGTAGCCATCCCCCTGCCTCCTGACATGAGCACTGGGATTGCAGGTATATGCTGCTATGCCTAGCCCCACAAAATGCATTTTAATTTTCAATTAAGAATAGAGAACAAAAATAGTGAAATAAACCCCCTTATGTAAACCAAAACTCATTAGTTGGGGATTAAAGTGGGGAGGGGAGTCCTCCAGTTTATATTGGAAGATTTTTTAAAAGGAATTTGTAGCTAGAGCTTTCTGGCCTGGCCCACAGTCAGGACAAATCTTTGTCATCCGCCAGTCCCACAGCTGCTCAGACCCAACCAAGTAAACACAGAGACTTATATTGCTTACAAACTGTATGGCCGTGGCAGGCTTCTTGCTAACTGCTCTTATATCTTAAATTAATCCATTTCTATAAATCTATACCTTGCCACGTGGCTCGTGGCTTACCAGCATCTTCACATGCTGCTTGTCATGGCGGCGGCTGGCAGTGTCTCTCTTCCCTTCCTGTTTCCTCAATTCTCCTCTCTGTTAGTCCCACCTATACTTCCTGCCTGGCCACTGGCCAATCAGTGTTTTATTTATTGACCAATCAGAGCAATTTGACATACAGACCATCCCACAGCAGGAATTTTTTTTTTTTTTCTGAGACAGGGTTTCTCTGTGTAGCCCTGTCTTGCTGTCTTGGAACTCACAGAGATCCACCTGCCTCTGCCTCCTGAGTGCTGGGATTAAAGACGTGCACCACCACCACCTGGCAACAAGGAACTCTTTTTTTTTTTTTTTTTGTGGTTTTTCGAGACAGGGTTTCTCTGTGTAGCTTTGCGCCTTTCCTGGATCTCGCTCTGTAGACCAGGCTGGCCTTGAACTCACAAAGATCCTCCTGCCTCTGCCTCCCGAGTGCTGGGATTAAAGGCGTGCGCCACCACCGCCCGGCCTAACAAGGAACTCTTAAACCAGGTGCTGTGGCCACATCTTTAATCCCAGAACTCGGGAGGCAGAGGCAGGTGGATTCTGAGTTTGAGGCCAGCCTGGTCTACAGAGCTAGCTCCAGGACAGCCAGGGCTACACAGAGAAACCCTGTCTCGGAAAACAAAACAACAAACAACAAAAAGGAACCTTTAGCTTTAGAAGAGCACTGTGCTTCTGAGTAGTGGTAAGGCAGGATACCAAGGCAAGAGTGTGTAACAGAAGAGTATTTACACACACAAAATATGTGTAATAGGGCCCCAGACCTTAATAAGCCCCCTGGACCTTAGCACAACTGACTCCATGATAGAAATACCATTCAGGCTGTAAAACTCAGCACATAGACAGCACCACCTGCCAAAACTAAAACAAAGACCTAATCCACCAAAGCCCATAGTTCTGGAAAAGTCTCTAAATGTACTAACCTTGCTTTTTGGCTTCTGCAGTTCCGCTTCTGGCTAACTGTTCTTGTTAACTGAAGTATGTCAACAGAGGACATGGGTTTTGTGCTTAAGAGCTCACCCTGAGAAAGCCTTGGGGCTACAACTGGGATCCTGAACACACACTGTAGTCCCCAGCTGTCTAATAAAGACTTTCTATTGGCTTAAATCCATGTCTGAGCAATCTCTGGTGGCTGCCCCACATGTGAGATGGAAACTGCTTGGCTCAGCTGCTATAAAGTGAGTGAAGAGCACTGGCTTTTCTGTCAGATTCCAACCTCAACCCGTTAAGGTACCCACAAATGGGTTAGTCCACCGATGAGATTAATACCCTCATGATCCAGTCACCCCCAAAGCCTGCCTGTGAGCACTATGGTGTCAGGGAATAAGCCTTCAACACTTGAACTTCTGGGTACATTTAAGATCCTAAGCTTAGTGTGGTGGTGCCCACCTATAATCCCAGGCTGGACTACATACTGAGACAATAGTGTCTCAGAACACTGAGACGACAAAAAACCTCCAAGCTGTAACATGCACTGTGTTTGCCTCGTTACACATTTTACAGGTCCAAGCTTTTGCTGTGACCCTTGGTTGGTGGTCATCCATACAGTCTTCACCTTGCATAGCTCAGAATAGTGATGAAACCCCAGACCTACCTTTAATAGCTTGGTTAACCTCCAGAGTTAACCAAGCTATTAAATGTCAAATCAACGTTTTTGATTTCTTGAGATATGTTCTCCTTCCTTAGTTGCTTGTAAGTCTTGCCATTCACACCCCTTTTAAAGGTGGATATGTCTAGAGAAGTGGTTCTCAACATATGGGTTGTGACCCCTTTGGGGGTTGCATATCAGATACTTACATTACGATTTATAACAGTAGCAAAATACAGTTATAAAGTAGCAATGAAATAATTTTATGGTTAGGGTCAACACAACATGAGAAACTGTATTAAAGGGTCGCAGCATTAGGAAAGTAGAGAACTGTTGTAGAGACAGAAATAAAATGTAATCCAAATGCAAGGCATGTATGTCATCTAAACTTTCTTGGTAGCTGCAATTAGAAAAGAAAAACCAGGCACTTTTTTTTTTTTTGTGTGTGTGTGTGTGCTTTTTGTGCTTTTTGAGATAAGGTCTCTTATAGCCCAGGCAGGCCTGGAACTCACTAGTTGAAAATGACCTTGAAGACGAGTGCGTAGTGGTGGCACACACCTTTAATCCCAGTACTCAGGAGGCAGAGGCAGGTAATCTCTGAGTTCCAGGACAGCTAAGGCTACAGAGGAACCCTGTCTCCAAACGAACAAAGACCTTGAACTCTTCCTGATTCTCTGACTCGGCTTGCTAAATGCTGAGATTACAGGCATGTGCCACCACCTCTGCTCAGAGTATTTTTCATTGCCATTTTTCTATTTATTTTTTTAATGGACATTGGTGTGAGGGTTTCAGATCCCCTGGAACTGGAGTTACAGTTGTGAGCTGCCATGTGGGTGCTGGAAATTGAACCCAGGTCCTCTGAAGAGCAAGCAGCCAGTGATCTTAAGCACTGAGCCATCTCTCCAGCCCCTCATCACCATTTTAACATGTCATTAACACCCGAAAATGGAAGCATTCTGCACTTAAGCTTCTGGAATGAAATCTTTGCTATCTAATGTCCAGTGTTCATACAGCTAGGGTTAGAGCCTTGATACTCAGTATGGTCTGCAAACGAGGGGTACCGTCATCATCTAGGTGCTTGCTAGAAATACGGAATTTTTCCTTTAATGTAGCCCAGGCTAGCCTTGAATTCCTAATCTTCTTGTCTCCACCTCCAAATTTTGGTGATAAGTATATGCTGTGCTCAACTAGAAATTCTGAATCTTAAGCCTATACCAGACCTGCTCAAGTTGACTTTTTTTTTTGAGACAAGGTTCTTCTGTGCAGCCTTGGTCATACTGGAACTCACTATGTAAACCAGGCTGGCCTTGAACTCAAGAGATTCACCTGCCTGTTTCCCAAGTGCTGGGATTAAAGGAATGTAATACCACCTCCAGCAAGTTGATGTTTGCTAAGCTGCCTCAACTGCACAGTCCTCACAAGGGTACCTGCTTTTTAACAAGCACCCCCAGGTGTGGTGGCACACACCCAAACTCTGGTTATTTGCCAGCCACCTGTCTTTGTAAAAAAAAAAAAAAAATCCATTGGCAGGCAGCCATATTTATTTACTGTGTATAGCTGGATATTTGTAACAAAATTCTTGTGGCCTGAAAAACCTACAATATTTATCACTGGGCCTTTCCCACTAAGTCTTAAGATGGAAAAGCTTCTGCCCTGTTACTTCCAAGGCTGTTGTAAGTCACTCGGGTCTTAATACCCTCAATGGCTGGGATTTCAATAAATGCTAACTACTGTTGAGAGGCAACGTAACAGAATGGGCTTTGCAGCCTACTAGAAAGGAGCATAAGCTCTGTGACATTAAACATGGCCCTTAACTTGAGGTTGAATGTTGTTGGCTCTACATTTCAGCGAGTTTCATCTACACTGGCTATGAGGCTGGGGCATGGCCCAGGACAGCATGCAATCAGCGCAGCTTCCGTCACATCTGTGTTCTGTAAGTTGTGCCAAACTACAGCAAACAAACCGTGCCAAACCTGTTAGTCCACAGGGTGCTACTTCCTGTGGCTCCAATCTGCAATCCATAAGCAGATCTCAACGACAGCAAAAGAGTTTATTTGAAAAAATTACTATGTATTGAAAATATACATTAGAAATTATTACAGACGTCCATAGCGGCCCCTCCCCCACCACAAAAGTAGAAATATCTGCTTGCTATGCTAATGCCATAAGTAAATCCCAACCAGAAGAACACCAGCGGTCTCTCCTCATGTGCTGAGTGAGGGGAAGGCTGACTGTCTGTGTCCGTCAGTAGGAGTTCAGCAAGTCCCAGTCTTCCACGGCCAGACACACACACTTCTGCTTGGCAGACTGTGGCGGCGCGCTCTGCTCCTGTTCCGACTCCTCGAAAGCTCTCTTCTTGCTCTTCTTTGATTCTTGGCTCAACAGCGGCTCATGGCAGTCCGGAGCCTTCTCTCTATAGAACTGGAGTTTTCCAGAAGAGTTCATGTGGGTGTCTGCCAGGGGACATTTCCTTGAGGCTTCCGAGAGAGCTCGTTTCTGATCTGTAAGAGTATCAAGGGGCTAGTGTAAGTTTTCTGTGCTGGTGGGCCAGGGCCTGCCCAAGTCTGACAGATCGCCTAGGACTAAGACAAGGCCCTAGGGTGGTCTGGGCTGAGTACCCGGCAGCAAGAGTGGTGGATGCCCTACCATGACAGAGTGAGAGGTAGGTGCTTACTAGGTTTTCAGTGAGTCTAACTAATACCCCAAGAATCAATTTTCTCAACTTACTCTGAATAGAAAACATAGAATGACACAGAAATAAATGTGTCAGTGTCAGGCCTACCCTCAAAGCTCACAAGCTGTTGGCTTCCTTTTTCCTTTCAAAGCCCAGACCTGACCGTGCCCTCCGAGGCACAGGATCGGCCCTATAGTGTCTGATATGTCGGAGGATTCTTTTTTGGTTTTTCAAGACAGGGTTTCTCTGTGTAGCCATGGCTGTCCTGGAACTAGCTGTGTAGACCAGGCTGGCCTCGAACTCACAGAGATCTGCCTACCTCTGCCTCTTGAATGCTGGGATTAAAGGTGTCACCTCTATTGTTTCCTTCCGTTTATCAATTCTTGTTTAAAATGACAAAATAAACACAACCAAATTCAGAACTTTTCTTTTTTCAGAGCTGGACTCAGGGTATTAAGCATGCTAGGCAAGCATTCTACCAGCAGCTACAACCCTTGCCCTCCAGATCACTTTCTTACCTCCGCTACTGTGTGTTTGTGGGTAGGACCTGAGTGTGCACACACATGTGCCACAGTGCATGTACAGAGGTCAGAGGACAACTCTTGCGAGTGAGTACTCCCCTTCCATCATGAGATCTGAGATCACTCTCGGGCTGCTAGGTTTGCATGGCGAGCATTTCCACCCATGAATCATCTCTCCAGTCCATAGAACTCTATCTTGTACATTAAAAGTTTGTAACTATTAAACAGTAATTCCCTTTTTCGATGAACCCGATGCTCTGGGAAGCTCACACAGGAACAATCATAATACAGTATTTGTCCTTTCACGACTGCCTTATCTATCTCATGTAACATGTCTTCAAGGCTCATTTGTCAAAGCGTCCTTACCTTAAAAAAATAAAAAACTCATCATTTTTAACTGTATGTATGTGATTAGTATGTACACATGAATGCAAGTGTCTGGGGAGACCAGATATGTTTGGTCCCCCGGAGCTGGAGTTTCAGGCAGTTATGAGTCACCTGACGTGGCTGCTGAGAACCTAATTCAGGTGCTCTATAAGAGCAGTACACACTCTTAACCACTGGGCCATCTCTCTAGCACAACATGTCCTTAACTTTTTAAGACTGAATCACACTCCCTTGTCTATAAATCCTGCATTCTGTTTATCCACCCATCTGTTGAAGGTACTTGGGTCTCACTTCTTTTTTCTCTAATGTTTGAGACTGAATCCAGCCTTGCCCATGCGAGGCAACCCTTATCCACTGAACTGTATCCCTAGTCCTGCTTCCACCTGCTAAGGACACTTAATCTGTTTTCTTTTGTCCCATCTTCTTTGGGATGAGACAGATACAAATAATAAAAGCAACCTTCCCAAGGTGGTGCTTACACTGCAAGCTACATTAAGGGGATGATCTGTCTTAGTGGTCATAAACAGACAACACTATTACAATGAATTCCCCCGGAGGGCAGACAGGCTGAGTGTTTTAAACAAAGGACTTCTCACAGAAGCACTGGGCGGCCTTCCGAGGCTCTGCATCTTCCCGCTGTCGCACAGCTTCCACACTCACTCGCTCCCACTGCAGAACGATCTAAAAGGAATTTTGAAAGATTTGAACCCAAGCAAAAACTTTCCTCCTTTCCCCTTTTTCTCCTCTGTTCTGTCCCAGGGAGGCAAGCACTATACCTCTGAGCTAGTCTTTGCTCCCTTTCCTGAAACACAAACCCATTGATCAACTTTGGTTATAAGAATCAAGTCAGACTGGACACACAAATGCGATGGATCTATGTATCTGTGTGATTAGGTCACTCTGCTGAGTCCACTCTTTCCCAGTTCCATTCTTATTCTAAGGTAGGGTAGAAATCAACTGCTTGAACTGCGTATCTTTAAACTAAACACTAAAATCTAAAATCTTGGTTATAATACTTTCACATACCCTCAGACCCTTCTTATGCCCTTATTATTACAAGTCTGTAATAACTCATCTCTCCTATGTATGTAGAATGCCCACATTTCTATATTCTCACAGTACTTCAATTTCTATTCTTAACTGTTACAAATGTAATTTTATTTATTAGCTACTGCTAATTCTTTAGAAATTTGACTGAATATAAACTATACACGACAGAATGAAAAGTAAATGATCATTTCAACATATCTTGAGTAACAAGGATTTTGCATTTAATACTTCTTACTAATGGAATGTAACAATCATAATGACCATAAATGAGGAAAAACACTTGCAGGATACAGAGCAGTTCAAGTATTAAGAATACAGACCTAGCATGGTAGAGCACACCTGTAGTTCCAGAATTGTGAATTTGAGTCCAGCCTGGGATACACAGTGAGACTCAAGACACAAAAAAATCACAAACCATAAGAGCACATTTACTAGCCAGAGGGCCCTTAGCTTTAGATTTAATTTCTGGGTCTTGACCTGTTGCACACCACAGGGCTGTTATGAGGATTACATGAAGGGTCTATCGCTGTACATCATGCAGAAAGCACTTGGAACGTATTAGTTATGGACCCTTCAAAGATATTTCCCGGTTATAGAAAATGGGTACTGATCTAAGGGAAAGCCAATCAATTTGGTGATTTAGTAGGAAATAAAGACACAATCCTTCCACTAACAGAAATAGAAGGCTAGCTGTGAATACAGAAAAAGAAAGCAAGTTTGGATAAACTGACTTCAAGGTGCAGGAAGAAACTTGTAAATAATATCTGGGAATATATATGGTTTCTGATAGATGTGAGTCATTTTCAGGACACTGAAAAACCTAAGATGCCCAGAGGAGTAGATGTGTAAAAGAGAAAAGAAAGGAGGAATCAGCTGAGAGAAAAACCCTAAGGCATGATGTTTATATTAAAAGTCACTGAAAGCCACAGACGGTGAACACTGGTGACTTGGCAGCTTTCAGACACTTAACGTACAGAAGAGGAGGCTAAAAGCAGACTGCAAGGAAGGCAGCAAGAGGTCCGAGAGCCGAGGACAGACAGAACACAGCTGCACTGGGCTGAGGAACTCACAAGACTAAGGATGGTTGACATCTGCACACGGAAAGAAATCACCACCAGAGGGTGACACTGAGGATGTGGTGAGGAAGCAAGAGCAACATAGTAACTATGACACAGGAAGCTGAAGGCTTCAGGAACAGGACTGAAAGAAAAACAGACAAGCAAGGGCTCACCACTGAAATAAACTGGCATAGCTATTTCCTTTAGAAAGGAGGGAAGTAGAATGTGGTTGGAGAAGTAAAGGAATCTGGAGACAAAAGACAGTGGGCTCCTGTTAGACAGCCTCCCTCTTCAGGGATGGGTCAGGCTGGAGTTCCTGCAAAGGATTTAGGAAGAGCCAGGAAAGCACCCCCTGAAGCCCTGGAGGTCCCAGGTGAAGGCAGGAAGCTGCGCTGGCACAGTCACCTTCCTCTGAGGTCACGGTGTTAGGTGTTTTACTTGATCTTTACCAAACCCACAGAGAAATCCTAGTGTTTTGAGTTTATGGGTCTGTTGAATCTATGAGGCAGAACTCTCCAGTCTCTGACTCCACAACCTATGCTCTTTCCCGTGATACTGGCTACCAACCTACAGGAGGTCTTGGCAAGAGATATGTGTCCAAGGTTTGTGGGTGCTAGGGTGCAACCTGGCAGTTACTGTAACATGCCCAGTCTGAAACCCCTGACACAGGTCTCCCTTCGTATCTACAGGGGTGATGATATAGTCAGGCAGCTGGGCAGGTTCACCATCATGCCTTCTGCTCAGAGCCAGGGAGGGACTCAGGGCAAAGACACCATGCTTCCACCAGGAAACGACAGTTAAGTGTCTGAAGGGGAAAGGTGTCCCACACAGGTGAGCTGCTTGCTATCTACCTGGGACCTTCTGACTTTCTATTCAAGGCTGTACTTTACCAATCTGGAGAAGGGCAATATGAAGTCAAGAGAGTCAAAGTCCAGTTCTTTCACCGGCAAGCGTCAAGAGACAGAAAGACCAAGAGGCTGCTCACTAAGGCTATGGAAAAGGAAAAAGAAAAAGCCCAAAAGAAAGGGAAGAGTCAGATTTGAACTGGATACAGTGTGACACCAGTTAATTCTCTCTGGAGCACAGCTGTTAAGAGAGCAGTTAGATCAGATTTTCTTCTCTTTTTAATTTTTATTTTTTTACATAGCAAGTCATAATTTACTTATTTCCTGAATCATTTGTAGAATAAAATAGCATTTGAGGCATGACGCCCGTCTACCAACCACAGCAGGGAAGTATGAAGATCTGATACCCAGTACTAACTCCTGAAGCAGATGAGTCAGTAACAGTCTGTCACCACTGCTGACCGAGGTGAAGACTACAACTGAGCCCAAGGAGTACCGGAAGGGTTAGTGCTTATTTGATTTGTAGGTACCTAGAGTACAAACGGAACGCTGTAGTGAAAAGCCTGAGTACCTGGTCAGCCCAGCCCTCTGTTTTGCAGTTACTATGATCAAATTCCTTCAAAGGCACTTTGGAGTGAACAAGGCCTATGTGTGTCTGGAGCTTGTCCTTGACGGCTTTGATATCCTAGTGAGGGAGAAACACCAGAGACATGAATACATTTTCCAATTCTTACTTGCTTTTAGTAGCAAAGACCACCATAAATTAGGTGTGGTGGTACACACTTGTAATTCCAATACTAGGGAGACTGAGGCAGGAGGATCACGAATTCCAAACCAGCTGAGCATGGTGACATATGCCTGTGATCCCAGTATTCAATAAGCTAAGGATTGCCATGAGTTTGGGGCCAACCTGGGATACATGGGAAATTCAAGCCTAGGAAAGGGTACATAATAACACTGTATCTCAAAAAAGCAAAACAAAAACAAAACAAGACCATCATAAATACTAGCTCTTCCTAAACACCAATTATCAGAAGCAAAATATCAAATCATAATCTGTAAAATGAAAGAAACCAAAAGCCTTACCTTTAGCCCTGTTCCAGAGATATCTAAGCAGTTTAGTTTTCTAAAAGAAAATAGGTATCCAATGCCAGCATCTGTGATCTCAGGGTTACCTAGATGTCAAAAATAAGGTAGCACTCTGTCATAACTGCTGGTAAAACCCCCACAGCAAACTCAGGAAAAAAACACCCAGATAACAATAGGTTATAAAGTACAGAATGTGTGAATTTTGCAGAGCAAATTCAATATAAGGGTTTTCTTTTCTCTGCTTACAAAATGAAGCAGCCACACTAGACCCTTCAGAGCTCCAACTGCCTAGGACTTGGATGAGCAGAAGAGTGTGTGTGTGTGTGTGTGTGTGTGTGTGTGTGTGTGTGTGTGTGTGTGTGTGTGTGTGTATGATCAAGCAGTTATCCCAAATAACTCCATTTGGAGCTGCATGAAACTAATGAAATGGTTCCTATGTTCTGCTCATCACCATTTCACCTCTGAAGTAAAGATATGTGTTTAGTTTGAAAAGACTTCCAAGGCACTTAAAAACAAAGGGACTACTATTCCTCTAACTCTCTTGTGTTTCTCCAGAAGCTTTTCTTATACATTACCTTCTCACATCAGAGAATGCTGCTTTAGCCATTTCCTCTAGGAATGCCAGCTATACAGCAGATGCTCAAATTGTATTTACTGAATAGGTAACTTCCCTGGGGAGGCACACCAGGGGATTCAATAATGTTACTGTCCAGAGGCCAAAACTAAGGCTCAGAGAAGTCAAATAACTTGCCCAAGGGTACAAGACTGTTCTCTGCCCTCGCCTCTGCAGTTTCCACTCACTGGGAACCAATCTACCTTGCCACAGACGGTGTTACTGGACTCTCAAACTGCTGACTTCCTAACACTGGAGTCAACGGAACTGGTTAATCTTTTTTCTTTTTCTTTCTTTCTTTTTATACTGAGTTTCTCTGTGTAACCACCCTGGCCATCCTGGAACTCACTCTGTAGTCCAGGCTGGCCTTGAACTCAGAGATCCACCTGCCTCTGCTTCCCAAGTGGTGGGATTAGAGGTGTGTGCCACCACTGCCCAGAGGATCTGGTTAATCTTAAATAACCACAAGAGTGGACTTATTCAGCTTTTGTTAGATAAATACTGATGAAAAGAACCTAAATGACAGACACCATGGACCAGAGACTTAAAGTACAGCAAATGTCCTTATGTATGCTCTTAATGTGACAGAAGGGCCCAGTTGGCTAAACACTAAGTGGCATGGGAAATCTGGAAAGCCTTTTCCTCCCTGCAGGAAGTGTGATAATATGCTAAGGCACTGGGCCAGGAGTCATGAGCTGCTGACTTCAGTCCTCTTACTAGACTGCTAAGGCTCCCAGAAGGTCAGCTTGCCTTGTATCCTCTCAAATGAGGGGTGATGACCCTAAGGCCATTATTCTCCAGACATTACTACCCCATAACTTACAAGACAAGTCTAAGAGCGTTAGATTCTCAAGGCCTCTTTTCATCACTCTTACTGGTGCTGTCATTTTCCGAATGCCGGCATCAGATAAGCAATTATCCTTCAAGTGGAGTTGAGTTACACTGGAGAAACAAAGTCCATAGAGAGTATCACTTAAATACTGCTTGAGAACATGCTTTGAAACATTTCACTTAAAAACATAAAATGTCACCATCTTGAAGTATTATGAAAGTCCACCCACATCCTACGAAGCTGTTATGTTTTCAACTGTCCTTTCTTGCAGCTGCTGTTCTCGAACTTTTGTAAATCTTTAAAAATAATTCTATGTGTTCAGCGTTTTGCCTGCATGCATGTCTGTGCACCATGTGTGTACCTGATACCCCAGGAAGCTAGAAGAGGGCAAGGAAATTCCCTGGAACTGGAACTATAGATGGCTGTGAACCACTATGTGGGTGTTGGGAATTGAACCCAGGTCCTCTCCAAGAGCAGCAAGTGCACTTAACCACTGAGCCATCTTTCCAGTTCCAAATTTTTGTTACATATATTTATTTTTTGTGTGTGGACAGTGGGAGGGATGCATATGCCATGGTAAAAGTGTGGGGGTCAGAGGACAACTGTGGGAGTTGGTTCTCTCTCTACCACGTGGATTCTAGGGATTGAACTCAGGTCATCAGGCTTGGTGACAAGTGCCTTTACCCACTGAGACAGGTTTCCAGCCTCAATTTTTTATCTCTTGCTATAATAAACTAGGAATGGACAAATAAGGGACATTTTTCAAGCCTGATGGTTTCAATTACTACAGGTTAAATAAAGGTTATTTAGAAAAAAGAACAAATCAATTATCTTTCCTAAGCATTATCCAATCTATATTGTTATACCAAGTAAACAGAGGTTGAAAATATTTTAGAAAAACAATTAGTAAATAAACACAGGAAACTAAGTGGCATTCCTTAAGATAATACCGTTGGATCATCCTTTTAAAAATAAAACAATCATTTAAAGTGACAGCAGGCTGGTACCTAGACAGGGCCTCATTGGTGAGATGTTCCAGAAGTTCATGCTCATCTCCAAGCTTGCAACATGAAAGATCCAGGCGGGTCAGCTCCCGGAAAGACTTAATCTCTTCAAGTTTTTCTGCAATCACCAAATACCTGTGCAGTGTGGAGAGCAATCAAGAGTCTTTATCTTTTAGAACTTTCCATTTGTGACCCTGCGTCACAGTCAACATGCCATCATCCCAGAGTACCATGCAGTAAGCTCACATCACCGACGACTGCATCACATGGGTTGGGCTAATTAATAAATACCTCAAAAGACTTTGTACATGATGGTGAAATAAACATTCTGAATAAACAGAAGTATATGAGCAAAGGCAAGCCACAAGAAAAAACATAGTGTGTAATTAGTCAGACCTTATAGTGGTAGTGCTGGGATTTCACCTGGGAATTTCCAAACTCTTTAGTATACTACAAATTTCAATTGCTCACTCCTTCTTTTGAGGAAAGGTCTCACTCTATAATCTAGGCTGGCCTTGAACTCCTAAGTCTCCTGCCTCCATTACAGGCATGAGCACTAGCTTTAATCTGCATAGACTCAAAAATATTTCAAAAGCTATCTAGCAGATCATATTTTATCTTCCTACTGAAACTCAAGCTTGAGCACCTGTCCACACCACTGGAACTGTTACCCTAACTACCCCGAAAGTATGTGGCAGCATGACTCTCATTTAGATGCTTACTAAGATAAACTATGAACATGAGTGACTTCATGACACTGGAGCATCTTGTCAAGCAGTTATCAGGAAGCATCAGGGAGGCCTCTGGAGAGGAAAGATCAAAATGGCATTCCATAGCCTGGCTGGGCTCTGCCCTGTCTTTTAGTTCTTCATCGACTTCTAATGAGATCAGTGGGGAAAAAAATGAAAGTGGGGATTCGGTATGACAGGAACAGGAGAGAAGGGGTTCCTAAGATACCAGGGAAGCTTGACAGTGGCAAGAGCATCTACTTCCCATCTTCTTTCCTCTTGGAGGTCTGAAGTTTCTACATCTGAAGAGTATGCTACGTTAGAGTACAGCTCTCTTACTCAGCAGGATCTTCACTGCCAAAAACAGGACGGATACTCAGAAGGGCAGAGTGGGGTCAAACTCTTTCCTTCCTATAGCCAACTGAAATTACTGGTACACAAACCGACCTACTAAGCAGATGGTTTGAGGTACCAAGACCCTCTTTAAACTGAAAAGTTTAATCTGCCTGGAGACAGCTCACCCTGGGACACAAGGAAGCATTACTTACTCAGACTGCTGTGGCTGCACTGTAAATAGACCTGTTTTCTACCTTCCAATCACAGTACTGAAGTGTGTTAATGGGAATTTAGGGGATTACTGGCAATTAGAGAAAGGAAAATACATATTCTTACATCAATTACCAAAAGAGTTTTAGTAATTCTGAAATAAGGGTGAAGAACATAATACTGTGTAATGTGATTAAGAAACATTATGGAACTCAAGGCTAAGGACCAACATTCTAGGCACAGACAATGAATGCTAAATGCTAATCTAGGACATAAGGCTCCAGATTCTTGTTTGTAGCTAGTATTCCAAACGACCTTCGAAGGCCCAAACAGTAGAGAAACAACATAGCACACACACGTCAGAGGTCAGAGACCTGGGTTTGAATTCTTTTCACTGTATTGTGGGCGGAGAAACAGAGAGAGAGAGACAGACAGACAGACAGAGACAGACAGAGACAGAGACGGGGGCGGTGAGAGAATGAGAGGAGTTGGTTCTTCCATGTTTATGTGGGCTGCAGGAGTCAAACTCCATTGTCAGGCTTGCATCATTGGGAGGTAAGTGCCTTTCTGTACCCACTGAGCCATCCTGCTGGCCCCAGTTTGTATTCCAACAGCTTTAATTTCTTGCTCCATCACTTAACCCTTCTGAGCTTCAATTTTTTTCAGCTATAAAACTGCATCTTTCCATTCTTTCCAGAATTATTAAGAAAAACAAACATCAAAGAAGTATATGGCATCCTATGAACCATCCTTTAAATAGTGATTATTACTACTTGATTAACATAGGATGATATTTCAAGGAAAATGTACTTGCTCTCTGTGACCATTAGGATTAAAATACAGGGGAGGAGAGTTTTGTGTAGCTGGAGCCCAGCTGTAAAGACACTGGCTTCTCCTTTTGGCAGGCAGTTTCTGGCCTAACACCAAGACCACAAACAAGTGTCTCACCTGCCCGATTCTCTTACTTTCCATTATTTTCTTAAAGTCCTTCCCCTTGGCCTGACCCTTTGTGTCATCAGTAAATCCTCTGCCGCAGCAGCTCTGGGATGCAAACACATCCCCACAGCTGCTGCTCTCTGATGTTCTTCTGGGTAGTCAGTCAAAACAGAGAGTTTAGGTCACAACTGAAAACTCACTTGTACCTGAATAAAAATGCAAAGTTTGGAATTACTTTAACAAAATACAATCCAAAATATTATGTTGAAAATGTTCCCTATATTCTATTATAAACATATGATCATAAGGTAAATGGGGAAGAGATTAAGAAACTACAAAAATACAAAGAAAAATAAAACCAGTCGCAATATTTCCACATAGACATTAGGTTTTCTTACAAAAATATTTAGGGTTAAAATAAAAAAAAATTGCCGGGCAGTGGTGGCGCACGCCTTTAATCCCAGCCCTCGGGAGGCAGAGCCAGGCGGATCTCTGTGAGTTCGAGGCCAGCCTGGGCTACCAAGTGAGTCCCAGGAAAGGCGCAAAGCTACACAGAGAAACCCTGTCTCGAAAAACCAAAAAAAAAAAAAAAATAAATAAAAAAAAATTAAGTCATCCAAAATTACCTTGAATTCAATCATTAGTACATGAAAAAAATAATGTTTTAAAAAATGGAATCTGGCCTGGTGTGGTGGATCATGCCTTTGATCTCAGCACTCAGGAAGTAAAGGCAGGTGAATCTCTATGAGTCCAGGCCAGACTGGCCTACAAAGTCAGTTCCGGGACAGCCAGGTGGAATACAGAGAAACCCTGTCTCAAAACAACAACAAAAAAATGGAATATGGCCAGCAAGATGGCCTAGTGGGTAAAGCACTTGTCATTCAGGTCTCAGGACTGAAGTAAAATACCTGAGATCTATGTGAATACTCTAGTCTCCATGTGTGTGAGGCACACTGTACATGCCATGGTATGCATGTACCTACTCACACATACAGTAATAAAGTTTTCTAAAAAGTCCATTTGCAGCTGGGCATGGTGGTATACACCTTTATCCCAGCACTTGGAAGGCAGAGGCGGGCAGATCTCTGAGTTCAGGACTAGCCTGGTCTTCAGAATGAGTTCCAGGACAGCCAGGGCTACACAGAGAAACCCTGTCTTGAAAAACCAAAATAATAAAAAACCCATTTTCCTAAAAACGTTTTAAAATCGTAGAAATGGCATTTTGCTACATAGTTGTTTGGTCGTGTACTGGTTCTATAGCTTACCTCAAACTCACTGCAATCTTCCTACCCTCAGCCTCCTGGTTGCTGGGATTATAGGTATGAATCATTATGTCTAGGTTAATTTTTCTCATCTCTCACATTTTCAACATTTTACTACATCATTTAAATTATCTTAGAATATTATCTTAACTTCCTTATCTGACTGTACCATAATCTGCTTAGCAAATTCTCTAGCTTTTAGCTTTTCACTGCTACAAATAATATTGTTATCACATTGGACTGAAGAGATTTTTTTAAAAATTATTATTATTTTTCTTTTTTGAGACGAGATCTCACTACGTAGCCTGGGCTGTCCTGGAACTCCCTATGTAGACCAGGCTGACCTGGAATTCATGCCTGCTTCTGTCTCCTGAATGCTGGGATTAAAGGTATGGGCTACCATGTCTAGATTAAGTTACTTTTAAGCAAGACCTCACTATGTAGCCCAAGGTGGCCATGCACTCCCGGGCCTTCTGCTTCAGCTTCCTTGTCAGTGCTACAACTGCAACTGTACGTCATCATGACTGGGCCCCCAAGAGAGGCTTTCTTCTGTCACATGCGTTTCAGCTCCTGTCTTTGCTTGAGGCCCAGAACAAAGAAGAGAAACATGGTTGACTCCTCTCACGGTGCAACATCATTTGTAACAACCACCTTCTCGGAGCCCAGACTTCCCCTGTAAGACAGATGCTACTTTATAGAGTGGTCATCCTATCTGCCAAGATAGTCTGAATAAGTAGAGTTATGGGCCCAGAATGGTGATACATGCCTGTACTCTCAGTCAGAGGAGGAGGAGGAGGAGGAGGATTAGTCATGAGTTTGAGGTCAACTGGATTTTCACTGAGGTGCAAGCACGGCTTCACAGTGAGATCTTGTCTCAAAAAACCAAAGCAAACAAATAAATAAAGTGAACCATGGGGCGAACAAGTCGTGTGGCTGTTTTTAGGGCTCTCAATACATACTGCCAAACTACTTTCCAGAAATGTTACACCTATGTATTATTTTGGTACTGGAGCTGTTACATTATTTATATGCTCATCAAATGTGAATTAGTGACATTTTCACAATCTAACAGATCAGACTACAGAATAACAAGGACAAATAGCATTTTCAAAACCATGGGGAAAATTTAGGCTGTAAAAACAACTGGGGAAAGTAAGGAAGTAGAACACCAGTTGTAGAGCTTATGCTCTCAAGTGAATAAAACTATGTATTTGAACGTTATTGCTGTGGTGAGATTATAAAATTTTTAATTTTAATCATATATTCTCAAATATGGAGTTTTTAAATACATGATTCTTATTTTTTACCCTTCTAATTTTCTACAATAACCATAAGTAACTTGGAATAAAAGTGAAGAAGTGAAGCACTGCAAGGTGGCCCATGCCTGTAATAACACCCAGGAGGCTGAGGCAGGAGATTGGCAGTATAAGGCCAACTTGAGCTAGTACAAGAGCCTACCAAGGAAGGAAGGAATGGGGTTGGGTGGGGGATAAAATGTGGAATAAACTGGCTTTGTCACTTAGCAAGAGAAGTGTTTTCTTTTCACTGGCAGCAGTCCCATGTCCTGCCACAACTGAGGCCACAGCACAGACAGAGCTTTCAGGAAATGCCTGCTTCATGGAAGTCCAAGGTTCTGCTCTGTGTGTCCTTAGGCCTTGTCTTTTTAGAGCAATATATGTGACCTGACCTGGGGTGAAATCATAAACTCCATGAGCCAACTAAATAAGACTAGTTATGCTTTTCTTCATGTTTTATGAGTTTTATCTTGTATTTTCTGGTATGGCTTTCTCTCTTTTACTGTATACCTTTTGTTTGGCCTCATTTTATAGGTCATATTTCTCTTAATGGTAAATTGGTGGGCTGGGGAAATGTGTCTCAGATAGAACACTTAACTCATATAAAAAAGATCTGGGTTGGATCTTTAGAACCACACACACAAAAAATAAACTAACAGCAAACTGCCTTTTAATCACAAAAAAATTCAGATGGTACGTTACAAAACTAAGTCTACAATACTGATTATAAATGAGTTTCAAATTGTAAAGAAATGTACATAGGTATATGAAGCATGTAGTCATCTATATTTCCAGTATTTCCAGTTTGACAAACTAGAAAGCCAAATAAAAAAAAAGAGAGAGAGAGAGAGAGAGAGAGAGAGAGAGACAGAGAGAGAGAGAGATGTAAATGTTCAGAGTATATATATATATATATATATAAATATATATTTAGACAGTGACTGGTCTCTGGGTGAGGAATCAGGAGATGAGAAAGATGTTATACTCTTCTGTGCTCTTGTTTGAACTGTTTGCTGGGGTATTTTTTACTCTTTTAAAACTAGTAGATGTTCTCAAAGTTTTCTTAAATGATAGTGAAATAAGTATTTTAAATAAATATATAAAAGTACAATACCAAAGGCAAATCAGTCATGAAAGAAAAATCTGCCTTGTAAGGAGACAGGTCTGGGTGCTGGTAACTTACCTGAGCATTTCTAAACTTTAGGATATTTGAAATTTTAATCATTTTTTAATGTTACTTTTTAGTCTAATACTCAGTATCTAGTATTCTTAAAACTGAAACAGGATCAAGAATTCTGAGTACTAACCTTCACATTCCCAAGGGTATACCAAGAGATATTTGGCAGATCATATCTTGTCTTTCATATCTTGTCTGTATTCTCTTACAGCAAAAGTTGACTCCAAGGGAGCATGATGGTACACACTTGTACTTAAAAAGTTGAGGAGGACAGTTTGAGCTCAATTGTGTTTTGTTATGTTTTCTAAGATAGGGTTTCTCTGTGTAGCCCTGGCTATCCTGGAACTCTCTCTGTAGACCAGGCTGGCCTTGAATCTGCTTGCCTCTGCCTCCCGAGAGCTGGGATTAAAGGCGTGTGTCACTACCACCAGGAAAGTCCAATTGTTCTATGCCATCCTGGGTAATATAGCAAGACCGTATCTCAAATGGAAAAAAAAAAGGAAAAGAAAAGAGAGAGAGAAGTTGGTTGCAAAGTATTTTATCTATTGAAAGAGCTGTGGCAGCCACCTAATCCTTACGGAACATTTTCAAAATAGGGCTAAGGGCTGGGCGGTGGTGGCGCACGCCTTTAATCCCAGTGCTCAGGAGGCAGAGGCAGGCGGATCTTTGTGAGTTTGAGGCCAGCCTGGTCTACAGAGTGAGATCCAGGAAAGGCGCAAAGCTACACAGAGAAACCCTGTCTCAAAAAAACAAAAAACAAAAAAAATAGGGCTAAGTGTTGTAGGAAATGAGGAAAGACAGTCAGTGATTCTCCCCCTCCCTCAAAATGGCCTGTACTTTGAATGTTTAAGTTTGAAATTGAAAGTACTGTCTGTTGGCAGAGTTTATGAGCCCACTAAGCCCGGGGCTTGACAGGATAAACATATCCACTTAAGTACTTGACTATCCTAATGAGAATACCCACCTGTTTCTTAAGCACAGCGAGCAAAGCACCAGACTCCCATAGGCCTCAGTGAACTTCTGTAAAGCCCTGAGCCCTGCACCTGGCTCTGTGAATTTCTGTCTGGCTTCAGCAGCAGAAAATAGCTTTTCAGCAATCTGCTCAGGAAAGCCAATAAGGGAATCAATGTGATCAACATTGTCGGAGATGAAGCCCAACACCAGGCTGAAGAGGGATTTGGCAGAGTAGCGTAGATTCCCCTCCCGGGTGTATGTGAAGATGAAGTGATCAGTCTTCTCTTTCTGTGCAGTGTCTTCCCTGTTCATGCACAGTTCCACAGAAAAGCCTTTGGGAAAGAGTCTGAAAGGCCGTGGCTTCTGCAGGCTGTTCTTAACACCATCCAGAGCCAGATTGACCATGTGCAGCTGCCCATTTTCTCGAACATAGATGGGCCCTGGATCCACGTGGGTTTGTGAGTTGAGGTAGTAAGCCATTGACTTGATTTCAACTGTAAAAGCAAATCCAATGAAAATGTTATCTGCAACATGAACTTCACCTTGTTATGCCCACAGCTTTATAGTAAAAGCAAAACTCAACAGTTGCTGAGAACTTTGTCACTATGAGGCACCCACTGTTTCTACTTGAAGTGCCTCTTCTGCACTTTTCTCACTGGCTCAGTAATCTACTCATCCTTCAGAATTTTAAGCTCAATTTTCATTTCTAAAATTCACTCAGAAGTTACTAAAAATGCCAGCAACAATTCTTTCAGAAGTAAAGTCACAGCAGCAGTTTCTGTTAGCACAGCAATAGGAGCATCCTAAATGTCCAACACTGAAGTGTTAGAAAATAAAGTATATACTTCATTTCATCGGGTATTATGAAGCCATGGACATGTTGCAATTACAACTGTTTACACACGGAAAAGGAGATAGAAGTAGGTAACCCCCTTGCTACTCTGGCACCTTCCACTCAGCTCTTTGCTGTACTTGGCTCACTGTCCTAGTGATTTGCTTCTGGGCCTGTCTTTGTGTTTTGCACACAGAGAAAAAGACCACATTTAATTCATCCAGACTCCATAACAGGACTCTGGCACACTACAGCCCCTGGGGAGAATGTTATGGAACTAGTTTAGTTCCATAAGCCTAGGTAAACCACAAGCAACAGGATGTTGAACTTGAATTTACAAGTAAAGACCCCCCCACCCAAAAAAAGGCTAAATAAAGTTAATTATAGTCCTCAAGAGTGTCAGATCTATTCAGGTTCTGTTAGAGTACTCTGAGGTAAGTTAAAAAATAAAAAGCAGTTTAGTGTTTCTTCAGTCATGTTGGTGACATTATGCACCCAAGAATTAACTGTAAAAAATACTTGTTTTCTTGGATAAATGAGATTTCAAATTACATGAGAAACTGCTACGTTAAGTAAAGTGAAGGCATCAGATTATCATTTCTACAACAAGAAAGAAGGAAAGAATGTGAATTTTAATACAATGTAGGTCTGTCAGTATTTCTAAAGGACTTTGAAATTATCCCTCAAAGACTCTGATTGACTTTTAAAGTGAACTCAGCTTCTGTAGCAATGTCTACAATGTCGCCTGAAGCCACTTACAAGTGTCAGCAAACAATTCAGTGAATGACAAAAATGCTGAGTCCCTGGAGATCAAACAATGATCCTGTTTGTGGGAATCACTACTATCCATTTTTCTCCCGAGAATAAGTATGTGTATAAACTACAGCAGAAAAGAGGGCCCAGCCTAGCCCTGGAGCCTCATCCTTTCTGGCTCATCCACTATGTCCTACTCTGTGGCCTTGCTAACACTAAAAGGGTAAACTGGCCACTCACTCGACCCATTGGAATTGGCTCAGTTTACGGCCTTTGGTTGTTACGCCTGACCTAGCTATTTCCTGCTCATCGTTAACATTCAGCTCAACCATCACTCACCATTCTCCTGGGAAACTTCTCCAACCCCTGTACCAGTCCTTGCCTGTCTTGTTTTCCCGGAGCATCCATGTTTCCTTCTACACAACACTTAGCACTATGCACTGTGTTCACTTGTACCCAAACTGTGAGTTCTTTGAAGGAAAGGCACTTGATTTATCTCTTAGTCAGGCCTAACATGGTGCTTAGTACTGAGTAAGCACTCAACAGATATGTGCTGAACTGCATGAGACCTCAAAGGGGCAGATTTCGTGCTCTGATACTGTTGCTAGGAGCCAGCTCCTCTTCCAGGCAACAGCTGCAAGCTCCTCCCCCCACTTGTCAGCCCTTCTGCAGGTGGTAGAAGCAGAGCAGATGATGGGGCTGTATTGCTACTGGTACTACCAAGGGAGAAAAACAAAACAACTAAAGTAAAAATCAGTTTAAAAAAAGTCTTGCGATAGTGCCAGCTCTAACCCTCCCTACTCTTCTCTTGCCAGCATTCAGAGGCTGCTGCTGCTGCTGCTGCTGAAGAGATGCCCCCTCCCATTTCTTTTAAGCACTTCTTTCAGCAGGGGCAAGTATTTGGCCCCTTCAATCTCACAGACCTTAATCCTAACCAGGAGAAAAAGAAAACATCCTTTGATCTTTAAGAGTAGATCTTCAGGCCGGGCGGTGGTGGCGCACGCCTTTAATCCCAGCACTCGGGAGGCAGAGCCAGGCGGATCTCTGTGAGTTCAAGGCCAGCCTGGTCTACAGCTCGAGATCCAGGAAAGGCGCAAAGCTACACAGAGAAACCCTGTCTCGAAAAACCAAAAAAAAAAAAAAAAGAGTAGATCTTCAGAGGCTACTCCACCTAAGTATCAGAAAGTAGGTACTAGGTATGGTCCGAAAAAGAAATTACTTGATACTCAGACCAAAAAAAAAAAAAAAAGTATAAGTGAGTGAATAAAGAAAACGTTTTATTTTATCATTATCACCATTTTAGAGTGGCCTGAAACTTACTATATAGTCCACGCTGGCTTCAAACTCACAGCGATCCTTCCACCACAGCTTTCCACGTGCTGGGATTACAGGCAAAACCCACTATGCTTAGCCTAATGATTTAACCGTAACAGCAGAAAGGCAAATCCTATGGAAGAAATGTTATCTTAGTGGACCAACACACCATAATGCTGACAAGGAAGGAAAAAAGGTAGAAAAAGATAAAAACCCAGGTTCTATATACATGCACTGCTCTTAATCCTCATCTCTAACAATAACCTTGCACAAACTCTGGAGTAAAATGGAACAAATGGATGACAAGGATTCATGAAAATTAGGAGTGTGATTCCATCCAGCAGAGGGCATAAGTAGGTTGGGACCAGAGTGTGGACGCTAATCCCTTACTCTGCCCCAAATCCTGGCAGCTTTACCTTCTAAGAATCATTTTCAAAAAAAGGGAGCAGTTATGACTATATCATATCTTTAGACTAGACATCAAATTGTATTCTCCTTTTAAATGACAAAAAATTCAGCATTTCCTTAAGAGTAAATCTACACCATTTGTCCAGGCAGTACTCCAGGGCTTTGCTTTCTTCAATTATAGTATTTGAAGAACTACCCTTAGTTTAGGGACTCATGGTAACTTTTTTCTTTCTTTCTTTTTTTTTTTTTAAGCATTCTGCATTCTCCCAATAAGGCACTTCCTGAAATTTGTGAGGTATAAATGACCTAAGGATTCAATGAATGAACTTTCAACTTTAAGAACCATAAAGGGTAAAGCTTCAATACTGGATATTGCTTGCCCCTCACTATTGCTCACAGCAGCCTATTACAAACTGACCCCTTAAGAGACCGAGCCTTTCTTGCTTGGGGGAGGGTGCTCATTCAAACTGGAAAATTAAGCTAATAGCTATCTTCAAGAATAACAATGTTCAGTGTAGATCTCTTGTAGCTATACGTCAGATTAACAGTGACAGGCAGTCTGGTGGGTCTTCCAGCCCACTACAGAGAAGCAGTTCTGTGACCTAACCTAACAGCACACAAGTACGTACAATAGTGCATTACCATAGGGGACCCTAAAGGTAGTACAAGCATATCATTTCTTCAAATAAATGAAACAGAACCTTAGTACAGTAAAGTTCAATTCTCTACAGCTTCTTTAAATAAGAGACAGGATAAAGTAATTGATAACTAAACATGACAGTTTCTTAAACCTTCAAGCCAGTTTCTAAGCAAAAAGCATAATAATTATCCCAGTCAGAACAGGGATAGAGAAGAGAGAAGGCAACAGGGTAACAGTGCTTAAACTGTGAGCCGAGTCGGTGGTTAATTTGAAGGGGAAAAAAAACCCCAACAAAATCAAAAAGAACACCCAACCTTAGTAGACAAGTTAATCTCCTAAAAACAATAAATAGGCCAAAGAATGACCAATGTTAACGACACCAGATGTGACTGAAAACTCCGATTTACTATGTACCTACCAGCTGGTAAGCACTGTTAGGTACAACATAAAATGATGTCATGCAGTCACCGATCCTATGAGGTCAGTACTGCCTCTTAATGGATGAAGAGGCTCAGAGAAATAAAGTAACTTACTTAGGGCTCACAACTGCTGAGTGACACAGCCTGGATTCAACCACAGGGCTGTAGGACTCCAAAGCACAGGATCTTTCCACTTGCATGATACTGTACCTCAAGAATAAAAATATGACACCCAGCCTTAAAAATGTTTTTAAAACACTCCAAACTAATCTCACCGGCCCTCTGATCTCTGTGGTACTCACGCACTGGCTCAAGGTGGGGGTTAAGAGGGCAGGGGATATTTGAAAAAACAGAAACAGTGGTCATCTGAGGAAAGAAAGAAAGAGTGGGTGGAAACAGAACCAGGGCTGTCTTAAGGATGAGGCGTTCCTCCTGCCTCTGCCAGGGCAGAAATCCGCCATATCCACACACCAGGAAAACATCTGTCAACCCATGACCTTCATCTCAAGACTTGCAGACACCTTTGGTTCTTTTGAAAACGTAGTGGCCTTTAAAGACTTTTTCTCAACACAAACATCCGAAGAGAAAGTAGTTCTAAAGTATCTCTAACCAACTAACAATCCACCTTCATTGTTCGGTGTCACCGCCATTATTCAATTTGCCACTACTTCTTTTTTTTTTTTCCTGTAACTTGCACTTCCCTACCTGCTTTCTCCCCCAAGCTGCAGAAACTCACGTCACACCCAGGCCCCTACTTTCCCCAAGAGCAAGCTGATCGCTCCCACATCTTGATAGTTTGACCCACTCGACAGCTTTTCATACAAAAAAAAAAAAAAAAAAAAAATTCAATCCCCACCCCCCAAATCCTAACTTTGCCCATTCACCACTCCCAGGTCTTCTCCCCATCTCCCTCTCACACCTCAGACTCTTCCGTGCCCCTCAAAATTCGGCCCCGGACCTCCAGACTCAAGCCCACCTCCATCCGCCTCCCGCGCCCTTTTCAGCCCCCATCCTTCTCTCCCTCACCATTCTTCCCTTCCGCTCACCATCGGGGTTCCTCTCAGCACCCTAGTCTCTCCATCTCTTGCCCGGGTTCTGCGCCTTCCACCTTCACAAGCCCCTTTCTTCACGCCTCACGGTGCCCAACTTCACAATTCACAGCCTCAACTTGTTTCTTCCCTGCCCCCAAGCCCCACCCCTCCCCCTATTCCGATCCCAGCCCCTTTCCTCGGTGCACGCCTCAACCCCGTTTCTTTTACCCCCTCCCCAGCTCCCACCCAAGCCTGCCCCCCCAAGTCCACCCAAGCTAAACCCGTTCCCCCCCCCTCCCGCCCAGAATCCTAATTCTCACCCTCACCCTCCGCCTAACCCCACACACCGCCGACCCCACCCTCCAGCCCACCTCCGACACCCCTTACATCCTCATCCTCCCACCTCGCCCTCTGCGGGCTCCACCTCGTCCCTAGGGCCTTCCCCTCCCCCAGCCCCTCACACTCGGCCCGCCCCCGCCCCCACGCGCTGCCCGAGGCTCGGCGAGCGGCCCTGCCCGCGGCCGCCACCTACCTGTGCCCCTGCCCGGGGCAGCGAGCGGCAGCACCTCCCGGGTGGCTCCTTCCTCCTCCACAGCGCGGCTGACCAGGAAGCGGCTCGGCACCTAGGCCACAAAGCCCGTGAGGGTGGGACACACACACACACACACACACACACACAGAGGGTGCCAAGAGGGAGGGGCTGGGGGCGACCTGGTGCCGCGGGACCGCGGGACCGCGGGACCAGCGGGGCGGGGGAGGCCTCGGCTGGGTAGGCGCGCGTGCGCGGGGCCGGCATGAGGGGCGGGGCCTGGGCTGGAGGTGGGCGGGGCGCGGGGCGGGGCGGGGCCGGGAGTGGGGTGGGACCGTGGGGGTCTGAGAGAGCGGGGGTAGTAGCGGGGAGGGTGGGAGGGGCGGGGCCGGGCCGGGCGTGCGCGTGCGTGCCCGCGCGGGGGGCGTGTCCCCTGAGACTTCTGCGGGCCCCCGAGGCGTCGCGGAGCCGGGTAAGGGTCGTCCCGAGGAAAGGAGCGCGAGCCAGCGAGCGAGGTGGCGCATCTGGGCGGGCCCAGTGCCGGGAGGAGGGCGGGGCGGAGCTGCGCCGGGCGCGCGCCTGGGAACTCCGCTGAGGCGGGGGCGGGGCGGGGCGGGGCGGGGCGGGGCCCGGGGCCCGGGGCCCGGGGCGCCGGGCGGGGATAGCGAGCGGACGGTCCCTCGGCGGAGCTACCCGAGGCCCAGGCGAGCGGGTCTGCGCTGCGTGTTGTTGGGCGGGCACCCGAGAGGTGGGAGTCTGGTGGCGAGGCGAGCAGAGGGATGCGAGCGGGAAGGGAGCGGTTGTGAGAGGATGCGCGGCAGGCGACCGCGGGTGGTGCGGCGACGTCACTGGGAGAGGGCAGTCTGACCAGGGCCTGGCCTCTCTCTGTCTCTCTCAGTCTTGGAGACCTAGGGCCCCTCCCCAAGAACCTTTTAGTGACCTGAAATGATGCTTTGACCCCCTCAAAAGGAAGAACAAAATGTAAGACATCATCAGCATCGTCCAAACTCAGTTATAGATCGTATTTCAAGTCGATGCGGGTGCATTTAGGCTATTTTAAATCATTTGGGTCTGGGGCTTGCCAGGAGGTGAGAGGACTGTGTCTGGGCCGCCGCTCTGGGAGACAGAGGATGACCATTTTTCAAATTTACACGGGAGTTACCAGTGGATGGCATAGGAAAGGATTTGGGGCGCGCCGATGTAAGAGCACCCAGAGCCAAGGGTGCTGGCCAACAAGAAAATCAGCCCAGGACTTGACCCAAAGGTTTTCTCAAAGAAGTACCAGAAATGGCCACACTGTGCACAGGAGAAGAAAACCTATGGCCCTGGTGAAGGATAAGGCACCCAGAGTCCCTGATTGTAGAACACAGAAAACCTGCATCTTGAAGCTATGGAAACATGTCTGCTGAGTGGTTTCATGGGTTAACTTGGGGTTGGCTTGCCTCTTTCTCATTAATTGCAACAAAAACTAAATGAAAACCCAATCTCTGCCCCCTTTCTTCCACGCCTAACAGGACATATACTGGTGGTTCTAGGAGGTACGAAATACGTTTGCTCTTTTCGTAGACATCTTAGATCATTTAGGAATGAGGTAAGAAAAGAACTGAGCATTTGAAGAGTACATGCTGTATCCCATTCATCTGCTATATACATCAGTTCGAGAACATTTCCCTAAATGTTAACTCTTATTTATTTATTTATTTTGAGAACAGGTCTCTTGCAGCCCAGGACGGCCTTAAACTCACTTCCAATCCTCCAGCCCCCACCTTCCCAGTATATGTGACATCATCCCTGACTTGTAATTCTCCCTTATACATTTTTATCCACATGAAATATGCATACTGCATTTGCCTGTTTTGAGACATTCACATTAATTCAGATAGCAAAAGTAGAATTAGAAAATACATTGCTTCTCGGCCTTTTGCTAAGATCAAGTGAAAATACACCACAAATTTGTTTGTCATCCTTTGCAGAGGCGTGCACCCTTAGTATATGCACTGCCAGAGGAGGCACTGTAACTTTTTTAAAAAATTGTTTATTTAGATTTTTATTACATTTATTTGTTTGTGTGTGCAGGGGAAGGGGGACATGCTCCTGAACTTTTTCTCTCCTCCAAACAGTATGGAACTTCATAATGTCCTTGAAAGGCTCTTCCTAGAACAATATTCTAGATGTGAATCACACTGGTGGCGCCCAGCTACTAGTTGTGTGTCCATTATCAGCTTGACAGGAAGCGAATTTCAAGTTGCAGATTATATTAATCTTTACTGGTGTAGTGCCTTGGCACTTAGTACAATCAGGCCCCTTGTTGGTTGGTGTTCAAAGAATTTGATGGAATATAGTACCTCTTTAACTTCTTAAATTGTGTTTTGTTTTGTTGGGGTGCTGGAGCACAAACCTGGGGCCTTGTGCTTGCCAGGAAGGCACTTTCCCATTGAGCCACACCCCCAGCCTAACTTTCAGTATAATCTAAAATAGCATTTTAAAATTTTACCTTTGGAGCAGTGTTGTCTTCTGTTGATTTTGTTGTGGACCAACCCAGTTAAATTTTAATACATCTAGATCAAGGGTTGTGAAGGGCCAAATAGTATTTTAGGCTTTATAGTCTGTGACAGCTACTTGGTTCTGCCACACATAGGCAGTCATAGACAATATGGAAATGGATGAGCATGACCTTGTACCAATGAAACTTTTTTCTAGCTTGTTCTCTCTCTCTCTTCCCCCCCCCTCCCCGCCTCCATTGAATCCAGGCTCATGAACATGCTAAGCACATGCTGTACAACTGAACTATGCCCCTGTCCTTCCGCCATTTCTTTTTGAGGGCCAGTTCTGTCATTCATCATGGAAGCTAACGTCTCAGCTTAGTGTTGTCTGCAGAGTTGATAAGCATACTTCTGATACCCTTAGTTAACAATGGTGTGGTCTTGGCCGGGCGGTGGTGGCGCACGCCTTTAATCCCAGCACTCGGGAGGCAGAGCCAGGCGGATCTCTGTGAGTTCGAGGCCAGCCTGGACTACCACGTGAGTTCCAGGAAAGGCGCAAAGCTACACAGAGAAACCCTGTCTCGAAAAACCAAAAAAAAAAAAAAAAAAAAAAACAATGGTGTGGTCTAAAATACCTTTACTTTATCCCATGGTGGGGGTGAGAGTATCTTACTCCATAGCTAGCTAGGTTCAATCCCTAGCACTCTAAAAGATAAATTTAAGTAGTACTAACTAGGATAATAATACAAATCTTCCACAAGTTCATTTTGTCTTGCTAATAATTATTCTCTGAGTATAGCTATTCAAAGAGTTATAAATAGTTTTTAAAAGCACTGTCACCCAGCCCGTATATCCTTGGTCCAAAATGTATCTCAAAAATATTTGTTATGTTGTTCAGAACAAACATGTTCCTAATTGATAGGAACTCCAAGAAAGAAAAAGAACTACTTTGGTGTAACTTGGTAGTTAATGTTATTATTACCTTCAATTCTACTTGTGGATACATTTTCAATTCTTAATAAATTATGAATTTGTAATTAATATCTAGGTCCATCAACATATATGTAGGAATTCTCTTATTTTCCTCCTCTTTAAGGATTAACAATATCCATCCAATACCAGTTCTCTGGTATCGATAGTATAAAGGTTATGGTAAGATTGGTCAAGAAAAATGCACACAGCAATGCTAGAACATGGTTTTCACAGTATAGCCATGGTTGTCAGTACTATTGGTATTATTTTTAAATTGTAATAGAAAGTGAACCAATCTAAAATCCAAGTGCTAATCTAAAACCCAAAAATAAATGAATTAAAAGTTATCAGTAATTAATATAAGGTCTACAAGATGCCTCAGCTGGGAAAGTGCTTGGTACATAACCCTGGACTATCTGAGTTTGGTACCCAAAACCTACATAAAGGTAGAAGGAGACAACTGATTTCTTCAAGTTGTCTTCTGACTTTCACAGGCACCATGAAGCTCCCACCAACATAAACATACATACACACTCAGTAATAATAATAAATAAAATTATTTTAAAATATTTAAATTATAAAAATTGATTTAAGAAGGTATAGAAATCCTGAATAGAACTAACAGATTTTGAAATAATAAAAAATTGCTCTAGAGCTGGGGTGGGTGATACACAGGCACACTCCTGTGATTCTATCACTAGGGAGGCTGAGGTAGGTGAATAACAGGTTTGAGGCCAGCACTGTAAACATAGTAAGGACTTAAACAAACAAACAACAACAATAAAACAGGCCCTACAAACCAGATATGGATCAAATACTGCCCCGAGGCGCGCCCCCCCCCCCCCAGTGTGTGCATATTACCAAACCTAGATAACATGTTAGGCAAGCACTCTCCTACTCAACTACTTCTCCATTCTCTAATAATCCCTACTCTACGTAAAATTGTTCCAATAACTAGAGAAAGAGCTTTCCAGCTCCTTATTTCCTTTGAAATATCATCCTAATCCCAGGGCTATAAAACTGATTACATGGCAAAAAATTCTAAACATGAAAGTAGCAAATCTTTGGATAAAAATAATGCATCTTGGACACGTAGACTTTTTTTTCTGGCCAGGACCTGGGGATACTGTAGCATTAGAAACATTTTATTTAGTTGATCACATTAATATTCTTAAGAAAAGCCATATGGGGGGTCTGGAGAGATGGCTCAGCATTTAAGAGCATTGGCTGCTCTTCCAGCGGTTCTGAGTTCAGTTGCCAGCACCCACATGATGACTTACAACCATCTATAATGGGATCTGATGCCCTGTTCTGGCATGTAGGTATCCATGCAGACAGAGCACTCATACCTAAAAAGGTACATAAATAATTTTTTTAAAAAGCCACATGGTCATCGTAATACATGAATTTGATAGAGTGCAATGCTTGTTCATTTAAAAGAAAAAGTTTAACAAACTAGTACAAAAAATTCTTGGAACAGTAAGTGATGTTTTACTAGATCAAACACAAATTTGACATTTAGTGTTAAAATGTGGTAAATACCCATTGTTTGGCTAAGAATAAGGAATTTTGAGTATTGTTTTTACAAAGATCTCCTTTACAGTAGCAGTAGAAACTATAGTGACCAAGAGTTAAAAAATCTAAGATGGGGTAAAGAGATGTTGATAAACTGTATAATATTTTAAGGACTTAAAAAGTCCTAAGTAAATGCAATTTATTCATAGAAGCATGCCAATTCTCTCCAATTTAATCCATAAATTTAATGGAATTGTTTCTACTAAGGTTCAAAGTATAGCACCAAACAAATTTTAAATGGCAAATAGAGGAACTTCCTTTGCTGAATATTATAATGTATACCTGTCAAGCATAGTGACACAGGCCTATAATCCTAGCACGTAAGAGGATAAATCAGGAGGATCAAGCATGCAAAGTCAGTGTGTACTACATAGCAAATTCAAAGCCAGCTCAGGCTATATAAAAAACCCTGTCTGGGAAGAAAGAAGAAAAACAAAGTATACTGTATTCTATCATTTGCTTTCAGTCTGTGTCTTTATAAAATTAGAGTGTGTCTCTTGAAAATATTATTTGATTTATTTTTAAATTCAGTCTAATCTAGTGTTTAATTTACTAATGGAAAAGGGGGAAATAATGTGTTTTTTGTTTAAATCTGTGTTCCTGCCTTCTTTCAATATAGTCAAGTATTTTTCTGGTATTGCCTTTTTATTCTTCTCTGTTGGCTTTTATCTTAGCCTGTTTTGTACTTCTATAACAAATTACTTGAAGCTGGGTAATTTGTAAAGAAAATAAGTTTATTTAATACTTTACAATACTTTGGAGGGCAAAGAACGTGCTAACATCTGCTTGGCTTGGGTGAGGACTTCATAGGTGATAGCATATAGGGGGAAGGAGAGGTCATAAGGCAAGAGAAGGAAGCAGGAGAGCAGGGATGGACCAGGCCTATTCACAGAAATGAATCACTCCTATAAAGCCCAACCTACTCTCTGAGACTACCATTAATAATCCCTTTAGGAAGCCTGTTGTGACCCATTCACCTTCCAGAGGTTTCATCTCTTAAAGGTCCCATCACCTTACAGTATAGTTATAGTAGAGACCAAACTTCCACCATGAACCAGAGAAGCCTTCTTTCTTTCTTTGTTGGTTTTCTCATTATTAGTTACTATACAATCCTAGGATTATGACATGCATCCTTAACATCCTAGTGTCTCTGTCTGTCTGTCTCTCTGTCTGTCTCTGGTTTTGCAGTGCTGAGATCTAACGCAAGGCATTGTGCATGCAAGGTCAGTGCTTTACCACTGAGCTGTATCCCCATCCCCTAGTCTATTTTGAATTAATATTATATTATTTCATGTTCAGTGTTAAGAATTTTACTAACATGATCTATAAATACACTTTCGTTACTTTCTTCTTGCTTTGTATTATTTATTGCCTTTGTTTTGTTTTTTATTTTTGATAAAGGTCTTGTATAGCCCATATTAATAGAAAGGTCTTGTAGAACACAGATTGGTGTCCAACTTGCTATACACTTGAGGATAAACTTGAACTCTACCCTCCTACCTCCACCCTGAGTACTTGAATTATAGGCGTATGCCACCACACCAGGCTCACATTTGCTGCTTCTGCATCTCTACTTTCCATTGCTATTATGTTTAGGCCACTCAGTAGATTGGGTCTTTTCTGTTGTTCTTGTTTTGATGCTGGGGATACAGCCCAGGACCTCTTGTGTATAAGGCAAGTACTCTATTACTAAGTCATGCCTGCAGCCCAGGTCAGTGGTCCTTTAAAGAAAACTTTAAGCTGTTAATAAGCTGTTCTGTTAACAGTGTATTTACCATCTCTAGTGCTTTTCATTTCTTCTCAAGATCTGGATCTAGCCTAGAAACATTTACTGTGATTTTAGTCTTGATTGGACTAAAAACGACCTACATTAGTCCAGTACCCTTCTGGAGATATCAGTCTTTCCAGAGACAAGTTATTGTGGTTTTTGCTCTGACCGCTTTTCTTTTTTTCAGCAATTGACTGATGTGCCTAAGTAGAATCTTCTATGTGTTTGTTCAACTTAAAGTTCAGAATTTCTTGGAGTTGTGAGTTTATAGTTTAGATTTGGGGAAAATTTCAGCCATATTTCTTCATAAAATTTTCCTACATTATTCAGTTTCCTCCTTCTAAGATACCAATTCCAATTGTGCATATTTTAGACTAGTTTGTTTTTACTTCATAAGTCTGATGCTCTGTTCACTTGTTTATTTTTTTTATTTTTTATTTATTTATTTTTTTGGTTTTTCAAGATAGGGTTTCTCTGTGTAGCTTTGCGCCTTTCCTGGGACTTGCTTGGTAGCCCAGGCTGGCCTCGAACTCACAGAGATCTGCCTGGCTCTGCCTCCCGAGTGCTGGGATTAAAGGCGTGCGCCACCACTGCCCGGCCTCACTTGTTTATTTTTTAAGTTAACTTATTTTCATTTTATGTGAATGGGTGTTTTTTTTTTTTTTTTTTTTTTTTTTTTGGTTTTTCGAGACAGGGTTTCTCTGTGTAGCTTTGCGCCTTTCCTGGATCTCGCGCTGTAGACCAGGCTGGCCTCGAACTCACAGAGATCCGCCTGCCTCTGCCTCCCGAGTGCTGGGATTAAAGGCGTGTGCCACCACCGCCCGGCGTGAATGGGTGTTTTGCTTGCATGTATGTCTGTATACTATATACATGAAGTGCCCTCAGAGGCCAGAAGAGGGCATCAGACCCTTTGAAACTGGAGTTCAGATGGTAGTTAGCTACCACAAGAGTGCTGGGAACTGAACCTGGATCCTCTACAAGAGCAGCTATTAACCACTGAGCCATCTCTCCAGCATCCTTCACTTATTTTTTAAAATATTTATTTTTGTTTATGTATGTGTGTTTCTGGGTGCATGCCATATGTATGTGGGTGCTTGTGGAGACCAGAAAAGAGTGATCAGATCTCCTTCCACTGTGTGTTCTGGGGATTGAACTCACATCAGGTGTGACTGGAAGCACCTTTACTGACTGAGCCATCTTGCCAGTCCCACTGATCTTTGCTTAATACTAAATCCTATGTGATGTTAAGTAACATTTTTTAAAAAACTTTAGATAACTGTATTTTTCAATTCCTGAATTTCTGTGTTGTTCCTTTTGAGTTTTCATTTGTCTTGTAAATTTGTTTTTTAATCCATTTTCTCCATGTCTTTCTAAATTATTTAGCAGGTTTGTAGTTACCTTTGTATTGTCTGATATAAATTAGCACACGGGTCGCTCCAGGACCTGAGTCATCTGTTGAGCTGTTTCTAATCTTATTTGATGTAGTGTCTCAGCAGAAGGTAGAGTAAGTAGATAAGTCCCCCCTGGGGAGTTCACATCTTTTCCTTTGTCTGGGAGCTGGGCTCAGAGACAAATCAGTTCTTCTGCTGGGTTAGACCCCGTTGCAATTTTAAATGTTCAGTTAACTTCTGGTTTCAAATAACTAAGTAGTAAGCTTAATTTCTCCTTCATTGGGTTTGTCTCTTATGTACCCTAAACCAAAGAAACCTTTCTTTGCTTTTCAGCTAGCACCAGCTTCCTGTGAAGCTTCACGAGGGCTTGTTTCTTTGATCTCATCTCAGGTGACGTGTGGGGGCTGTGCTGCAGCTGTTCCTAATTGTACTTAACAGTGCTGCATGTGACAGTGATAAATTCACAGACATAAGGAGAGAGAGACGCCAGATACCAACAAGCCTGCACAAGATTCCATGTACATGAAATGTAGACAAATTGATCGACAGTATTAGAAATAGGACCACTCTCCTAGTGGGGAGGAAGGAGAGGTAGCCTCAGGAAGGGATGAGGAAGACTTCTCACAAGCCCTAGTATTTCCTTACCCTGATGTGTTGGCTTTGTAAAGCTTTATTGAATATATGTTTGTGATTTGGTCCCTTTTTTTTGCATGTTATAGTTGGGTAGGCAACTCTTGCATCAAAACCAAAGCCCAAGCCATAAACCAAGCATGGCGAAGCACATCTATAGTCCTAGCAGTCAGGAGGTTGAGGCAGGAGGATTAGAGTTTGAGCTAATAGTGAGAACCTGCTTCAAAAACAAATTTAAAAAGAAAAATCAATCATGGATTGGGAGAAGACATTTATAAAGATACATGTAACAGGCTTTGTATCTAGAATATGATTTAAGTTTTTTTTTTCTTGTGTGTGTGCCTGCAGGTGTGTGCACACAAAAAGTCAGAAAAGGGATTAGATTTCCAGGAGCTGAACTTCAGGTAGTTGTAGGCTGCCCCATGTGAGTGCTAGGAACTGAACTCTGATCCCTAGAACCCTTGGGAAAAAGCCAGATATGGTGGTATGGGCTGTTCTGCTGGGCACTGGCGAAGTACCAGTGAGAGCCCCTCAGAGGAGGCAAATGGTATTCCTGTGCTTGTCTTCTGGTACTCCCACGCATACACACAGCTGTCTGGCTACTTCGTATCTATCTGCGTCACCATCCGAACAGGGTGGTGACAGAGGATAAGATCTGAGAGGATCTGTTGCCACCATAGTGGAGCTCAACAAGGTTTCTTCAGCAGAGATGGGTTTAAGTCTCTGACCAGGTGACTAGTTCAGAATTTTACAATAAGGGTATCACTTTCCTTATTTCATGCTCCTATTCAGAAAATGATAGCTGCTGCTGTTGTTACGGGTCCCTGTAGTTTTAGCTATTGGAGAGACTGAGGGAGGGGGATCACATGAGCCTGGGGGTTCTTGAGGACAGCATGGCTAGTTAAGCAAAACTCTCATCTCAAAAACGCAACCAAAGGTAGCGTGCCAGATTGTAAAGGAGCCTGGTTTGGTGGGCAGACCTGAAACCCCAACTCTCAGGGAGTAGACAGAAGAGAATCCTAAGTATGAGTGACCTTGTCTCCTCCCAAAGGAAAAAAATTAAAAATACAGCCAGGTGTGGTGGCTCATACCTATAATCCTAGCACTTGGGAGGCTGAGGTGAGAAGATTACTGTAAGTTCTAGGGCAGCCTGGGCTACAGAGTGACCCAGTCTCAAAGTAAACATTACCCGCAAAGTAAACATTCTTTGATGCTTGGATTGATAAGGGTGTAGAAACTCACTAAATACCTATATTTACTCTCCCAATGTTTTTTAAAATTCATAAATAGTAAAAAAAAACCTCAATAATTTCTGTCACCATAGCTTGTTAACTATCTCTGTATAATAACTGAGGGTTTTAATTTTAGAAACAGAATAATGATGTCAGTTCAAGTAGTCAAAGACATTTTGTGAAGACTAGAAGTGGGAATGATCGTATTTTATAGGTCATCCAGGAGAGGGCCATCGTTTGCAGGAACCAGTGTGCAAGTCCCTCCCACGTGTGGAATAGCTTGTTGTTAAACTGTGTGCTAGGCAACAGCCTTGCTTTCTCTTCTGTTGAGAATGGAGAGTTGGCTTTTTCACTATATTTTTATAAACATTTCAGGTTAAAGGCTTTGAGATGAAGAAGACCGATCTCTGTTCGAGCACGGAAGGGACTGAGGTGATTCTTGCTACCTCGAGTGATGAAAAGCACCCACCTGAGAATATCATCGATGGGTAGGAGTGGCTGTTCCTCCCGTTCTACTTCCAGGCTTAGTGTCAGAGAAGGGAGCCTATTCTATAACAACGGGCACTATCAGGTGGTGTAATAAATACTTAGTGAGCTAGATGACTTCATAGTGTCTATTTGTGGAGTCATTCTTTAGCTAATCCAGTTGTGAAGATTTAAGGTTTTTTTTTGGTTTTTCGAGACAGGGTTTCTCTGTGTAGCTTTGCGCCTTTCCTGGATCTCGCGCTGTAGACCAGGCTGGCCTCGAACTCACAGAGATCCGCCTGGCTCTGCCTCCCGAGTGCTGAGATTAAAGGCGTGCACCACCACCGCCAGGCTATTTTTAAGGTTTTTAATCCTTAACAATTCTTAGACTTTTGGGCAAACAGATTCAGTTTTTTTTTTTTCAATTTATTATCTTTTTCAGTGATGGAAATTGAACCCAGGGCCCTCCGAGGGTAGACAAGTACTCTACCATCATGCTGTTCCCACGGCTTTTTTCCTGTTTGTGCCCCCCCTTTTTTTTTTGCGTTTTCTAAGACAAGGTCTTACTGTGTAACCTAAATTTGTCTTAAACTCAAAATTCTCCCGTCTCAGCCTCCAGTGTCCAGGAGTATAGTTGTGTTCCACCATTCCTAGTTTGCAAAAAGGTGTGTGTGTGTGTGTGTTTTAAATTTTATTTGTTTTTATTTTATTTGTACTGATGTTTTGCATATATGTATGCATATGTACCACATGTGTGCAATGTTCAAGGACAGAAGAGGGTGTCAGATCTCCTAGACTGGAGTTACAGATGTGAGTTACAGTTGTGAACTGCTGTGTAGGTGCTAGGAACCAAACCCAGGTCCTCTGCAAGAGCAGCTAATGAGCTTCACTGCTGAGACATCCTCCAGCCCGTAAATAGATTTTTAAAAGTGATTTACTGAGACAGAAGCCCAAGACTAAACTTCATTCTATGGAAGAATAAATTTTAATATCTGATGTTGGTTTAATTCCAGATTTCTTGGAAATATATAAACGTTGTTACTTCGTGTATATTGCCTGTCTAAGTAGCGTCTTTGCTGAGCTGAATGCTTCATGACTTGCCCGTCCTGCTGTGGCCGGACTTTCTTGGCCCACCAGCCGGCAAATAATAACTCAGAGACTTATTACTAATTGTGAAAGCTTGGCCTTAGCTTAGACTTTTTCCCAACTAGCTCTTATAACTTAAATTAATGTTCGTATTAATCTACGTTCTGCCACATGGTGTTGCCTTTCTTCCATTCTCCGGTTTCCTCTCTGTGTCTCGCTGGTGAATTTGAGAGCCTCCGCCTCAATTTCTCCTCTCAGTTTCTCTCTCTCTGCCCAGAGGTCCCACATATTCTCTTCTGCCATGTAGCTCTTTATTAAACCAATCAGAAGGTGCCTCAGGCAGAGACACATTTTTTACAGTGTACACAAATATTCTGAAGCATCCTGTGTTGTGTGCTTCATTCCAGTTTACACATTCCAGTTTACACATGCCAGCGCTAGAGCTTATTCTGGGTAGAAGTCAGTAGTATTCTCAGACCTTTAATGCCAAGAAAAAGTGACTAATGGAGAACACACCTTTTATTTATTAATTTTAAAATTTTGTTTTATATGCCGGGCGGTGGTGGCGCACGCCTTTAATCCCAGCACTCGGAGGCAGAGGCAGGTGGATCTCTGTGAGTTCGAGGCCAGCCTGGACTACCAAGTGAGTCCCAGGAAAGGCGCAAAGCTACACAGAAAAACCCTGTCTCGAAAAACCAAAAAAAAAAAAAAAAAATTTGTTTTATATGTGGGTGTTTTACCTGCACATATGTCTGTGTACCAGATGTGTGGAGTGCCTGGAGAAGCCAGAAGAGGATGTCAGATCCCCTTGACTGGAGTTACAGACCATTGTGAGCCACCTTGTGGATGCTGGGTCTTCTGGGAGAGTAGCCAGTACTCTTTACCTCTGAGCCATCTCTCTATTCTGAGAACACCTCTTTTAAATAGTTCTGGCTTATTATTCTCCTAAATCCTCTCAAGGTGTATACTTAGCCAGTTTGACTGGTGGAATCATACCATTTTAGAGCTGAAAGGATCTATTAGATTATCTTTATTTTAGACTTGTTGGAAGACAGCTGTACACATTTAACACTGGTTTTAATTATGGAGGCAGAGCCAGTTGTAAGATGGAGATGTTGTGAGTCTCCACAGTATATTGTGCTTGACAAGATCTCAACAATCAGACCTCTTCCTTCAAGGTCAGTTGCTACTCCTTTCTAGCACCTTTTCCCTCAGGTGGGGTTATTCATGTCTTTGCTAGGCTCCAGGAGCATTTGGTTTAAGTCTCTGTTATGAAATTGTATGATTTGATTTGTTTCATTTTTTTGTAATTTTTTTTGTCTGTAATATTAGTGCTCTCTCTCAGCTGTGAATTCTTGGAAATCGGCCTGTGTTTTGTTTACCTTTGACTCTGCAGCATCTTGAACTGTTTGTTGAACTAATGTTGGAAAGCATGAGAGTGTAATTTATACACATGCAAACATATATAAATGTATACACACATACTTGTGACTGCAAATTTGTATAGGGTTTTACAGTTTGGGAAGTGATAAACACATATAAAAACTACTTTCAACTGGGCTTGGTGTCTCATACCTCTAATCTTATGGTACTGGGAGACTGAGGCAGGAGGAGAAGTGCCTTGAATTCAAGGCTTGCCTGGACTGTATAGTGAGGCCCTGTCGAAAATAAAGGGGGTGGGAGGGCTGATAAGATGTCTCAGGTTAAGAGTGCTTGCTGCTCTTGGAGAGGACTAGAGTTTTGTCTTAGCACCCATGTTAGATGACTCATGACCTCCTGTAACTCCAGCTCCAAGGGATCCAACATCCTTTTCTAACCTCTGTGGGCAACTGTTTGGGCATGTAGTATAAACACACAAACTTATGCACATACACATAGAGTAAATAAACCTTTTTTTAAAAAGGTATTCTCAACCTCATTTTAAAGATGAACAAAAAGGCCGGGCGGTGGTGGCGCACGCCTTTAATCCCAGCACTCGGGAGGCAGAGCCAGGCGGATCTCTGTGAGTTCGAGGCCAGCCTGGTCTCCAAAGCGAGTTCCAGGAAAGGCGCAAAGCTACACAGAGAAACCCTGTCTCGAAAAACCAAAAAAAAAACAAAAAAAAAAAAAACAAAAAAAAAAAAAAAAAAAAGATGAACAAAAAGATTACCAAAGGTAAAACAATTTGTTAAAAAAAAAAATGGGAGGAGGGAGGAGGGGGTTCTGTGGATAGCATGAGGAATAAGTAGAAAATTTCTTAACAAAGAAAAATTAAAAAAAAATAAATTAGCCGGGCGGTGGTGGCGCACGCCTTTAATCCCAGCACTCGGGAAGCAGAGGCAGGTGGATCTCTGTGAGTTCGAGGTCAGCCTGGGCTACCAAGTGAGTCCCAGGAAAGGCGCAAAGCTACACAGAGAAACCCTGTCTCGAAAAAACAAAACAAAACAAAAAAAATTTAAAAAAAATCACACAGATAGACAAATGATAGAATCAACTAATACGCGTGCCTTCTGACTCCCAACTAAAGGTTCTGTATGACTCAGACTTAAGACTTGAATTGAAAACTTAGTACCTGCCATCGCCTATGTCTCATAGTTTTCCTTTGTTTTATATTTCCCATGAAATTGTTATTTATACCAATGACTTGCTATAGAAAAATTAGTTACATACATACACAGAACTGCAGAGATTTGTCTTAAGTTGTTCATTTAGAATAGAGGTCTTTCCAGAAACACTCCTCACTTTAATTGGAGATAGATAGTTTTTTAAGGCAAGATCAACTTATCATGCCCCCCCTTTAAAGCTTTAAAAACATATGTTATGTGTATGAGTATTTGCCTGCATGCATGTCTGGTGCCATGGAGGCCAAAAGAGGGCATCGGATCCCCTGAAATCTGAGTTATAGGCAGTTGTGAGCTGCCGTGGGAGTGCTAGGAATTGAACCTAGGTCCTCTGAATGAAGAATCAGTGCTCTTAACTGCTGAGCCATCTCTCCAGCCCCAGAGATTTTTAATCTGTATGGTTCTAGCAATCACTAACAGGCTTTATATAGTAGATATTAAAATTATTTTCTGCTGAAAGATTGTTTTATCTAAATGGAAATAGCTACAGAGTTACTTGGAGAAAGTGATGCTGTAAATTTATCCCTACAGTGGGGATTATCTTATGCCAATGGTGAATACTTTAACTTTCCTTAACAAGTTAGTTGTACTGTTTTTTGGTGGCTATTTAGTTTTTGTTTGTTTGTTTGTTTGTTTGTTTGAGATGGAGTCTCTTGTAATCAGGCTGACATGGAACCCACTATGTAGCCAAAAATGACCTTGAGCTCCTGATCTTTCTGCCTCTATTCCCCCAATCCTGGGATTATACTTGGCCAGAAAGAAGGGTTAAAGTGAATGTATTTATTTCCTCTTGACCCTGCCTTTGTCCTCTGTACTTACTATGGCAGTGGAAAAGGAGAAAAGAAACTCCCCAGAGAAATAACAGAGCGGGGTGTGAGATGTCTCAGCACTTGGAAGGCTGAGACAGGAGTGCTTCAGTGAAGCTGGAGGCCAGCCCGGGCAATTTAGCAAAATACTGTCTCAAATTTTAAAAAACGGGAAAAAAAACCCCAAAAACTAGAACTATAATGGTAGATCCCTGCACAAGTGTGATCTGTGTTTGGTGCCCAATACATGCTTATTCACCCCACACCCTGAGGAAGAAGTGGTCTTTTTTGCATAGTACAGTTAAATGTTATAGTTGAATCATACCAATGGAATCATACATATTGTGGTTTGAGGGTTTTTTTTTGTTTTTGTTTTGTTTAAAGCGGGATGACACTAGCTGAAGCGGTTGATTGTGTATCTCAGGCTGGCCTCAAACCCATAGCAATCCTCCTGCCTTAGCCTTCCAAATGCTAAGAGTTAGAGGTATACATGTGCATCATCATGCCTATCTCATATGAGATCTATTGTTT